TAACATGCTCTTGGCTGAAGATTAAAAGCATGAAAATGGAAAAAACAACAACAACAACTTGCACACAAGCACATAATGATGTCGGCATTCCACGGGGGGAGGAGGGGGTGGGGGAGGCAAGGGCGTTGAGCATGTCCAGAGACAACACACAGAGGCACTGCAAGGTTCAGATAATTGCTCAAGTTCACACAGTTCCCTTTGGAGAGGTCCGTACACACTCAGGGGGTACCAAAGACTGAAGACGATGACGATTGAATGAAGACGATGTTTGATAGAATCCAAAGAGTCCTGGAGAAATATTGTTCAGAATGCTGAGAAATCGGACCATGTCTTGAACGGTTTCTGAAAAAATAGAAAATGTATTTACTGGGGTTTTGAGGTATATCGGTGTGTTATTCATTCATTCAACCTTTATTTAGACAGACAAGTCACATTGAGCCTAGAAGACTCATTTACAAGTGAGATCTGTTAGACAAAGTAGTGAAACTGGACACATGTAGGAATTAGAGGCGAAAAAATTCCTATCAGACTTTTTTTCCCTGCCCGAGAAGAAAAAATACTCTGATGTTAAAAAACACCTCGCACAAACAAGCACATAGTGACGTAGACATTCTGCAGACGGGGGAGATGAGATCGGTCAGCAATGGTCATAGATGCTCTCGAGGGCACTGTACGAGTTCTGATAAGGATGGAATAATCAGTCAATGTCCTCCGATGAGATCCATAAACATTCTTGAGGTATGTCGAGGAATGGCCAAGAATAACGTCTATGGGAATCCAAGAGTCCTGAAATGATGACACAAATTTATTCAGCTGCTTTCATCTGGTTATCAGTTGGAAATTCCTCAGGGAGGGGGAGGCGAGTGTCAGATCACATGTTCTCCAGGCAAATTCAGATTAGATGGTCTTCAAGGCCAGCCAAGGGAGCCAGATTCAGATAAACACAGTTGTTTTGGGGACAGGCAGAACTTAATGACATCTACCTTGAGTCTGTGTTGGTCCACTCGGTTCCAAAATGTCCAAATTACATGGCCACATCGATGGAACGTGCCTGAGTAAAATCCCCAAGATCTGATCCATTCTGCCCAAAGCATTTGAGTCTGGGTACTCGAGGCACGAACCAAGCCATCATAAAGGCAAGCGGAGTGATCGAGTCCAAATTTGCTGCTGAGGACTTCCTTGGTTGTAGCTAAAACTAGCAACCAGCCGAAACAAAAAAGCAGGAACCAGTTATCGTAAATCCAATTAAATACAGTATGCGTCCTTAAAATCCACAAGTGGCAGCAGAGATAGACACATCATCAAGTCTTCAAGTCGATGAGATATCCAGTTGCATGCAAACAGGGCAAATCGGCTCGCCTAAAGCCTGTCTTCTCTTTGAAGAAATGTTGTAAATTGAGTTGAGGGACCAACTGATCAAAACAAGTCCATACTTATGGTTCGGAAGAAATGCAAGAGAGACTCAGAAGCAGTTTCATAGACAGACAGAGCAGCAAAGCAAAGCGGAGAGGGAGGGGAGAAGCGTCCGATCTCAGCAAGAGCAAGTGGTGAAGTGAGGTTAGTTAGGAAATTCTCTGTTGTTACAAAGTGTTTTCAAGTTTAACAAACCTATTAAATATAAAAATTAAAACTATTAAACCATTTGAATGTTCAGCAGAGGGCCACAGTCATTATCATTGAGTTTATTTTTTGGTTTTGCTTTTAGTCCGTTGTGTTGGGTCTCAATCGGTCTGACTACATGCTGGACCAGAATGAGAATAAGACGCCTTCTCTAAAGCAAATAGAGATAAACACAATCGCTGCAAGTTTTGGAGGCCTCTCATCACTGACACCAGGTGTACATAGGTGCGTAGGTCATTTGTACACACAGTTTATGTAAGTGAAAGAGAAGACTAAATATATAATCAGAATAAGTAAATTCACTTGTCTTCTTGCTTGACAGACTTGTACTGAGGATGGCCGGCAGGCTGGAGGAGAGTCGACTCATCCCGGACAACAACCCTGCAGCTGGTCTGGCCAGGGCCATTGCAAAAGCCTGGGAGCTCTATGGATCAGAAAGGTGAGACCGAGAAACACGGGTTGAACACATGCAGCGTGTGCAGATTTTACACTAAGATTTTACTGAGTAAAGAGTTGGTGCTGAAATAGCAGCAGGTTTTCTGTGCTGCAGGAAGTTCCTGTAGAAGCAGGAACAGGACCGATTCTGGTTGAGCATTGACATGGGTTTAACCAAGGACACCCCCAACCCCCCCAAGCTTTTTTTATTACAGCTGAGAGAATGACATCTTCATGATGTGTTGTTGTAGAGACCCTAAGAACCATACCATTGATATTTTTTTCTTTGGTGGTAAATTTAAATATTAGCGTCGTGGAAAAGTGATTCCCCAAACAACTAGGTGCAAACGTCATCATATTTATTACAAAGCTTTGGAGAACAGCCAGTAATCACAGAAAATCAATGCATTTTCTAGTTCTAGAATTGCGCCGCTCAAGGTGGCTGCATGTTGGAGCAGCTCTGTTACTTTCATTCTGAGATTTTGCTTTTGGAAACTTTAATTCCTCTTTTTCTGGATGTAAATCACTTTTTTTTTTGGACGATTGTGTCCTCTGGTGTCGGATGCTGTGCAGCTGAAAGGATTTTTACAGAAACTTTTTTAAATTTGGACATTTGTTATGATGCGTAACCATGGCAACAAGGCAGTTTTCTACAACCAACAGCAGCTGATTAACATCTCCAAAGCTCAAATAATATCTCAACTACAGCCTCAAATGAGTTGAAAAGGATGTTCCGTGGATGCATTCTCATCTACTTGCCAGTTGTGCTCGAGTGCCTGACCATTGAGATCCTGGAACTAGCAGGAAACACAGCTCATGACAGCGGAAGGACAGGATCGTCCCTCGGCACCTACATTTAGCTGTCCGCAGCAAGGAGCTCGGCAGACTACTGGGGGGAGTGGCCATCACTCTGGGAGGAGTTCTGCCCGGCATTCGGGCGGTCCTACAGCCCGGGGGAACCGAGAGGCCAGTCGAGTCTGGGTGGACGAATCAGACGGCATCTGCAGCCAGTTTCTTAGTATCTACTGTGGGATGGACCTTTACAAGAGATCCTTCCTGTCTACAGCCATCAGCATCTATAAGATCTCTTAATGAAATGAGAATAACGAGTTACAACAACAAATAAGTTCCCTTTGGGATTAATAAAGTATTTTTGAATTGAATTTGAATTTAAATTAATTTGAATTAAATTGGATTTGCAACTACACACTCATCAATACAATACAACTTCATTTATAAATCGCTTTAAAAAAAGAAATGGTTTGACCTTGGCCAGTTGTCTCAAGTTATAAAAGCTGGACTTGATCACTGATTTAATTTGTGCATCAAGTTTAAAATCATTGTCCAACCTCACTCCCAAGTTAGTTGCTGTTTCGGTCACGTTTTGTGCTTAAGGACCCAGATCAGCATGGACTTTGGGACCATCACTGGGCTTAAACAACAAGACCTCGGTTGTTTCCTCATTAAAATGTTTATTGTGCGACATCAATGCTCTGACTTCTGCAAATCATTCCAGGAGTTGGTTCACTGAATATTGTTTATCTTGTTTTAATGGAACATACATTTGGCTGTCATCAGCATAAAAATAAAAACGTAACATCATGCTTCCAGAGAATATATCCCAGAGGGAGTACATACAAAGAAAACAAAAGGGGGCCAAGTATAGATCCCTGAGGTACTCCAGATGTGAGAGATGCTACGGAGGACTCAACAGTTCTAACACAGACACAAAAGCTTCATGCATCAATGCCTTCACCTATCTGAGGTTCTGACCTTTTCTGACTTCTTGAACTGAAAAGGTTACCATAGTTTTGTAGAAAACACCCAGCCGCCAGCCCCTCCCACTCCGTCAAGCTGTTATCAAAACCCAAGTACAGACCGAAGTGATGACCGGTCACATTAAGACTGATTATTACATAAGGTAAGGATCACAAAACACTTTATCATTCATAATAACAGTAAAGAAGCAGTGCATAAATATATTAATCAAGTAAAACTGTGGAGCATGGCGAGTGCAAAAAATACACATTCCCTTGCCGACTTTATTGTGGAGTCTTTTTTGTTGTCTCAGTAGTAACATTTAAATTCTGTATATTTTTTATTATACTAATGGCAGAGTTTTAACATTTTCTATTGGTTATCTATTTCTAAAACACTTATTAAAAAATAAAATACCTCCTGGTAAATCCATAAATACGTTTATACGAACACGATTAGTTTGTACTTTGGTCTGCACCAGAACCTGCATCCTGCCCAGATTTAAAGGCAAAAGGAGCGTTGTGTTGCTCCTGAAGGGGCGGTGAAGTTGAAGCACTGTTTTGACGATTTTCCTTCTAAAGTTCTGGATCTGAACGATGCTGATGCTCTGAGTTTAAATCTTTTAGTGATTATATTTGCCGGGGGCCCATTTTGCC